TCCATTCTTTCAGTTGAACGCTGGTTCAACAGGATTCTACCGAGTCGAATATAGCCCAGAAATGCTAAATGCAATGATACCAGACATTTCTACTGCCAAAATGCCGCTTCTAGATCGTTTTTCGGTCGTTAATGATCTTTTTGCCTTGGTAAGTAACCCACGAGGGATTGCTATAACCGGTAATGAGAACAGTTTAGGTGCAAGCTGGTCGTGCTAAAGCTTCGTCATTCCTTTCTGTCTTAGCAAACCTCCAAAATGAAGAAGAGTACATTGTCTGGCAATGTCTAGCTGGTGGAATTGAAGACATCGCAAATGTACTGAACTATGTTGATGGTCCCGTTGCCAAGAGGTAGTTATGATTCTGTTACCCAGTGTATAGAAAACCTACCAATTTGCTTTTAGATTCAACTCGTTCGTAATATCAACAATGGCTGGTTTGGGCAGAAGAATTGGATGGGATTGCCACGATGGAGAAGGTATGCGTGATATTGTAAAGACGATATACATTTATAGATCGCCCATGTTAAGTTCTTACTCAGAATTCAAGTTCCAGATTCTCAGCGTGGCATTCTTCGAGCGGTAGTGCATGGTCGTTTGATGAGAGCTGGTAACGATGAAACCATCGAGAAGGCTATGAGCTTGTTCTCCGATTACGTACATTCGAAGCGACCTCTACATCCTGACCTACGTCTTTGTGTCAGCGATTTTTATTCTGAACCATTTTCAAACTAAAAGTTATCCGCTCTTTTAGATCTTCACAAGTGCAGTGCGAAATGGCGGAGAATCAGCTTTTACTCAACTACAACAGATTTATGAGAGCGTAGGATTCCCAGAAGTTGAAAGGAACTGTATGACAGCACTATCTCAAACGCAAGACCCTGCCCTTCTTCAACGACTGTTCAAATATGCTATTCAAGATGTAAGTCAGCATTTTCATAAGAAATACTTTCCCATATTCTCACCTTGTAATCAAGAAAATCGTAGTTGTATTTTGTCTATGATCATCCCGCTTAAAGCTAAGATTTTCATTTTTTGTTAAACTAGAATGTAATTTAGGGTAAATGTCGTCCTCAAGACCACATGCTGCTGTTCTATGGTGCGAGTGTGAGCAGAGTAGGACAGGAGTTCTTATGGCAGTATATGAAGGAGAACATGGGATACTTAGCGGAGAAGTTTGGCGGAGTAGGATCCTCTCTCTTCCAGGTCTGTCTCTCTGTCTCTAAGATACAAAAAATGGAATTCTGATAATAGCAAAAAATTGACTTTATTCCAGAGGTGTTTGAAGTTGGCTATTGAGCGGCAATGCACTGAGGAGTTCGCTCAGGAAGTGGAGGTATTTTTTTTTTGTTCATCGTCATCTGCTTACCTCCACATATTTCTTTAGGGCTTCTTCTGTAAGAGCTTGTCACCTGAAGATATGCAAACGCTGAGTCGACCTCTCAAACAGGTAACGAACGATATTGTGCTAGTGGTTTTGATACCTTCTCAAAAATAAATTTACAGGCTACGGAGTCTGTGCGACTGAACAAGAATTTATTGCAATCAAATCTTGAAGACATCGATGCGTTCCTAACATCTCAAGGCGTTTGAAATTTTTGATAAAGAAAACTTACCTAATTTGCATGCAACTATTCTTTTTACAATGTTATGGGTATTGTATTTGTCTGCTTCGTGTTAATATGACTTGATAAATCACTAATAAGGTATGGTCGGTCTTTTTTATGCACCAGACGAAAATTATGGCTGAAAAATAATAAAAAAATATTAGCCGCAGAGCGCAGGAGGCGCGGCGTTTCACAGTTCACAGCGTTAAGGATATGTGAGCGCGCATTAATTAGTACTGCAATTGAGCCTTCATCCATCAGTAGCCTTCATTTCTAAGCAACTGCTCAAAGCAGAAATTTGTACTATCCTTCTGACGGAGAAACTCGAGTCCCAGTGTCGACCAGTATCGTACAAAACGCTTATGGCCCACTGAAAGATTATGGTATCAGGCGAGGGTTCGTGGCCCACTGAAAGATTACGGTATCAGGCGAGGGTTCGGAGTTATCTCCCAATTACGAAGGAGTT